TCATACGGGACCTGTTCCAAACCCCTGATCATTTTAGTTGCCCTCCCCTCTCCCACGCTCTCTCTTCCCCTCTCCCACCTTCTTTTCCCAGTCTCCCCGAGTTTTGTTCAATAAAGAGAGTTTCTATTTCTGAATACACGTGTCCTTTCTTTTGTACATCAGGAAGGGGGGCTAGGAAGGGGTAAGTGGAAGGAGGTGAGGGAGGAATGGGGTACGAGCCCCCGATGGGGAGGACTGGGCTGGCTCTGCGGGCTCCTCGGGGTGGAAGCTCTCCTGAAGCCCCTTGATTGACCCCCCTCTGGATGGCAGCCTGCGGCAAGTGCAGCCAGGCTGATGGCCGAGTGCTGTGATGTGCCGAGTGTGGGCACTCAGGGCACTCCAAGCCAGGACTGCTTTTCAAGTGGGGAACCCCTGAGAACTGTCTGTCTGGGGTGGGGGTCGGGTCCCTTTAAGCACAGCCCTCGGCTAGCCTGAGGCAGCAGCTCCACGCTCTAAGTCCTAATCTGATGCCCTGCCGGCACTGCTTCCGGCCATCCTTAACGTCAGTTCAGGGTCCACTCAGTGTGGACATGCTAGTTTGAATTAGCAAAACGCTAATTCGAACTAGTTTTTAAGTCTAGATGCACTAATTCGAATTAGCTTAGTTCGAATTAACTAATTCAACCTAAGTTAGTTCGAATTAGTGCTGTAGTGTAGACATACCCTAAGAATTATCCAGACTAACCTTGGATACAGCAGCTTAAGCCCTGATAATATTAGTTGCGTTCTCTTTTTTTTTTTTGTGGTGTTCCATTGTGAGCACATGCAAAAGAAAAAAAATCTAAATCAAATCTAATTTAAACAAGATTTTCCTGCCAGCCTTTTTTAGAACTGATGCCTCACCTGATTCCAGTTTGCTGCATTTTCAAAACTTCAGGAGATCTGTCCTAGTGCAAATATTGCTCCACTTGAATAAACTGTGGCTAAACTCTAATATCCTTGAAATATTTTGTTAAACTGTGTGGGGAACCTAAATCTTGAGTGCCTACTTTGTCTCTAGGCAAAGGAATAAGTCCCTCCCTCTTTCCAGTGAGAGAGTCTTCAAACTACATTATGTAAAGTATTTCCTTTAAAACTGTTGCACAAGGTTCCAATATACAGATTACTCATTAAGAGGAGGGCATTGCTGCTTTTTTCTGAGGTCTGGTAGACTAAGGAAAACAATGCACTCCTAAAAGCATTCCTTTTTTCTGGATTTCCAAGTCTGGGCAGATTTCTTCCAGCTCTACCCCTAACAAAGGTTATGTCTAGAACGTAGAGTTTAATCGGAAAAAGATACACAATTTACATACCGCAAATTATATATCTTTTTCTGCTTTACTGTTGAAAGAGGCTTTTCCAAAATCTGGTGCATCTACACTGAGCCAAATTCAGGAAGAAGTCCTCTTTTGCCACATCCCTTATTCCTTGTAAAATGAGGTTTGCAGGGATGGCAAAAGAGTGCATCTGCTTTTTCGAAAATTCTTCTGAAAAAGCGGACACATTCCTTGGACATGGCATTGCTTTTGCGGGATACCTCCTGTATCCCGGAAAAGCAGTGAAGTCTAGACGAAGCCAAAGAATGCTCTGTTGTGGGCCTCATAAAATGGGTATTTGAAATAATCAGGGGAAAGGTATTCTGAAAAGTTATAGAATTCAATCATTGTCTCCTTGGCCAAGTGTATCTTTTCCCCAAGGTGAATAAAAATAAACCATCACTATCAATAAGACCCTTTGTAGTATCAGAAGGTAAAGAATCCAATAGTTAATCTCCTACATGTTGGAACAATAGAACCTGTTCTGAGGAGAGGGAGAGAGAGAGAAATTTGGAAAGAGCATACTTTTTTTGTGGTATGAAGAGAATTAATGTCATATACTCCATATTAGAGCTTGTGTCTCTCAGCAAGTCCATAAAGAGTTTACTATTTCATGAGGAAATGTGAAATCCATCATTAAAGCATAATCTTCCCACAACTTCACAGTATAAAAATAAACCTGGAATTGTACTGAAGATGTGATAGATGAGTGCTACCCAGAAATACTTCAGCTTTTGCTACAACAAAAAGTATTTTCAGTGAGGTTTCATGAGTCCTTTTGGGACTCAGAACTTCTATATTGGTATTCACAAATGTAGTATCTTTGCTTTCTTCCAGTGAAAGAAACAGATGATGTATGGATGATCTTCTTATCATAAAAGGCTCAGCCGCCATTTTTGAAAGACTTCATAAACATGTCTTCAAGTGAACAAGTAGAACAGCCAATTATAGGCCTCACAAAACTCCAGCATAGCAAAATACAGAACTATGTAACACTTTAAAGACTAACAAGATGGTTTATTATCATCTAATAAACCATCTTGTTAGTCTTTAAAGTGCTACATAGTCCTGTATTTTGTTTCAGCTACACCAGACTAACACGGCTACATCTCTATCACTATTCAGCATATAAATTATCACTCAAGGCAAACTTTGTTTTAAAAGAGAGGCAGAAGAAGATAAAATCTGAGTCAACTGGTGTGTTAATGCATCTTTTGTGCATAAATAAAACAATTCTGGCTTTTTTTTCCCCTGCCAGGATATGCAGCAAATCATGATACAAAAAATATTCAGATTCAGCAGTACTTGCATCTTTTAGTGAAGTTCTTTTTAGTATTATTTTACAGCTACCTGATTGGTAGGAATAAATGGTAAGTTTTCCGAGTGGAGAGAGGTAACTAGTTGGGTCCCCCAAGGGTCTGTCCTGGGACCCATCCTATTCAACTTATTTATAAATGATCTTAGAAAGGGTAAACAGTGAGGTGGCAAAATTCGCAGATGATACCAAACTGCTCAAGACAGTTAAGACCAAAGCAGACTGAAGAGCTTCAAAAAGATCTTACTGAACTATATGATTGGGCAACAAAATGGCAAATGAAATATGATGGAGACTAATTTGGCTACAACTACACAAGAGATCTTGGAGTCATTGTGGATAGTTCTCTGAAAACATCCATTCAGTGTGTAGTGGCAGTCAAAAAAGTAAATAGAATGGGATCGAGAATAAGACAGAAAATATCTTGTTGCCTCTATATAAAACCATGGTACGCCCACAACTTGAATACTGCATACAGATGTGGTCGCTTCATCTTAAAAAAGAGAGATTGGACTGGAAAAGGTTCAGAAAAGGGCGACAAAAATGATGAGGGGTTTGGAACGGGTCCCATATGAAGAGAGATTAAAAAGACTTGGACTTTTCAGCTTAGAAAAGAGGAAACTAAGGGTGGATACGACAGAGGTCTATAAAATCATGACTAGTATGGAAAAAGTGATTAAGGAAAAGTTATTTACTTATTCCTACAATAAAATAACTGAAATGAAATTAACAGGCAGCAAGTTTAAAACAAAGAAAATGAAATTTTTCTTCACTCAGCACACAGTCAGCCTGTGGAACTCCTTGCCAGAGGATGCAGTGAAGGCTAGAACTTTAACAGTGTTTAAAAAAAAGCTATATAGATTCAGGGAGGTTAGGTCCATCAATAGCTATTAGCTAGGATAGGTGGAAACGATACCCCAGCCTCAGTTTCTCTGGATGTGGGTGACAGAGGAGGGAATCACATGAGGATTACCCAGAGCCGGCTCAACGTACGGGCCAACCAGGCTACCGCCGGGGTGCCCCATTGTAGGGGGCGCCCTGTGGGGCTACCGGGTTGGGGTGGCACCGTGTATGCTCCGTGCGCCCGGGGTGGCGCCACGCATGCGCCAGGCACCTGGGGGTGGAGCCGTACATATGACGGGGGCAGGGCCGCGCATGTGCTGCAAGGCCGGGGGTGCCTCACGCCCAGGGGCAGGACCACGCATGCATCGTACTCCTGGGGGCGGCGCCGCGCTCCCGGAGCCCAGAGTGCACAAATGGCTCAGGCCAGCCCTGGGATTACCTGCTGTGTTCCATTCCTCTGGGGCATCTGGCATTGGCCACTGTCGGTAGACAGGATACTGGGCTAGATGGACCTTTGGTCTGACCTAGAATGGCCGTTCTTATGTTCTTCCAGTGTTTAACCACTCTGACAGTTAGGAAGTTTATTCTAATGTTCAACCTAAACCTCCCTTGTTGCAATTTAAGCCCATTGCTTCTTGTCCTATCATCAGAGGTGAAGGAGAACAATTTTCTTCCTCCTCCTTGTAGGCCTTCTATTTTGTAGACTAAACAAGTCCAGTTCTTTCAATCTTCCCTCATAGGTCATGTTTTCTAGATCTTTATTCATTTAAATTGAATTTGTGAGATTCAAGTTAAAAGCTTCCCCACATGCTCTGCCAGCTGTGAGATTAGGGTCCCATTCCCAAGGGAGAGGCTGTAGGATTTTGGAAAATTTAACTCCAGCTCCATGACACTTATTCCAGCCTATTCTCAGTGAAAGGAGCTTCCACACGGTCTACTCAGCTGTTGAGTGTCAACCTTGCCCACATACTGGCTGGGAGCCAGGTTTGATCATAGCCCATTTAGTGGTCTTGGCATGAACTCTGCCCATGTTACAGCGATTGCTGAGTTTCTGTGGTCTGTTGTCCCTACCTGCCATTTTTGAGGCAAGAGGGGGGAAAAATAGCAGCTGTCTTTCAAACCCCATTCTTAAAGCCAACTTTTAAGTGTAGTGGTTTTTGAGAGAAAAATCGCAAAGCCAATATAGGAAAAGAAATTTAATTTAAAGGGAATTTTTAATAAGTGTAAAGCTTTGCTATTACAAAGGGAGACCTGGAGGTGCCATGTGTGCTAGATGGGAGGTGAGAATTCTAGGGAGTTCTTCTCAAAGAGCAATTCCAAGCCCAGATTCAGAGCAGAGATCGGATTGTCACCAGTGGCTATAAAGATAGAGAATGACTGGCCATGAAGTGTGTCAAAGAATTAAGTTTGAGTGAAATTTAAAAAGACAAATTGTAATCATAGCTATATAAAATACCAGATAAGGAAATAAAAGTATAGCACAAAATATTCATAAATTCGGTACTAACCAATAAGAAGAAGGGTTCCAACAGCTAAACCTCCACCTGGAAATAAAACAAAAACCAAGAATAAGATAAGGCTACATTTTAATGTTACCTAAGAGAACAATTAAGTTGCTTAGTTTATGAGTCAAAGAAAGATGATATAGCAAGTTTAAAAATGTAAATGTGAACAACATTTTAATTACCTTTGCAAACTTCCTACAATTCACTATTATGAAATAATTACATATTACATGTAATTACATATTACACATTACAATTACTTTCACAATATATTGTACTATACTCTTTATACGAAAAGATCCTGCAGAGGTCTATACAACTGAGCTTAAGCACTGCAATAATGTTCTTGGGGCTTAATCAAACACTTACTTTAGTGGCACTACTCACATGAACACAAATGTGAAGGATTGGGTCCATATTTAGGAGCAAATAATACTACTAACTCTACAGCCATAAACTAACCATGCAGAATACTTCAACAAGGGTTCAGCCAACTCCTTTGCATCTGTAAGCAAGGATACACTGGAGGGTAAGGATAGGGTCCAGAGTGACCTAAACAAATTGGAGGATTGGGTAAAAAGAAATCTGATGGGGTTCAACAAGGACAAGTACAGGGTCCTACACTTGGGATGGAAGAATCCCAAACACTGCTACAGGGTGGAGACTGACTGGCAAAGCAGCAGTTCTGCAGAAAAGGACCTGGGGCTTGCATGTCCAGAGAAACTGGACATGAGTCCACAGCGTGCCCTCGTAGCCAAGAAGGCTAAAGGCATATTAGTGTGCATTAGAAGCAGCATTGCCAGCAGATCTAGGGAAGTGATTATTCCCCTTTATTTGGCATTGGTGAGGTCATATCAGGAACACTGCATCCAATTCTGCAAAAACACCCCATTACAGAAAGGATGTGCATGCACTGGAAAAAGTCCATGGGAGGGCAACAAAAATGATTAGGAGGATAGAACACATGACTTACAAGTAGAGGCTGATGGATTTGGTCTTATTTTGTCTACAGAAGTAAAGAGTGAAGTGGGATTGAAGCAGCCTTCAACCACCTAAATGGGGGTTCCAAAGAGGATGGAGAGAGGCTGTTCTCAGTTGTGACAGATTACAGAATGAGAAGTAATGGCCTCAAATTGCAGTGTGGGAGGTCTAGGTTGGATATTAGGAAAAACTATTTCACTAGGAGGGTGGTGAAGCACTGGAATGGGTTACTCAGGGAGGTGGTGGAATCTCCATCCTAGATATTTTTAAATCCTATCTTGACAAAGCCCTGACTGGGATTATTTAGTTGGAATGATTCTTGTTTTTAGCAGGGGGTTGTACTTGATGACCTTCTGAAATCTCTTTCAACTCTATAATTCTATGACTGGCCTGTCTCCCAAGATGTCTGAGTGAGGGGTCGTCATCTAGGATAGGTTGTAGACTTGTCACTCCTCGCTGATAGACAGTCCCCCAACAAATACTCACCACCAAATATATACCACATAGCAGAAACACTAATCCAAGAATCAATCCCCGCAACAAATCCCATTGCCAACTCTGTCCACATATCTACCCTATTGACACCATCATAGGACCTAATCACATCAGCCAAACCATCAGGGCTCATTAATCTGCACGTCTATTAATGGGATATATGCCTTCCTGTGCCAGCAATATCCCTCTGCCATGTACACTGGCCAAACTGGATTGTCTCTATGCAAAAGAATAAATGGACACAAATCAGACATCAAGAATGACAACCTTCAAAAACCAATAGGAGAGCACTTCAGTCTCCCTGGACACTCAGTAAGAGACTTGAAAGTTGCCATACTTGAACAAAAAAACCTTCAAAAAAAGAGTACAGCGTGAAACTGTAGAACTGAAATCCTTAAACAAACTTGACATTATCAGACTAGAGCTGAATAGAGACTGGGAATGGCTAGCTCAATACAAAAAGTAATGGTCTCCCTTTTGGTATTCTCACCTTCTTATCAAATGTTCAGAGTGTGCCACATCCGCCCTAACTGAACTGGCCTTATTAGCATTGGTCTTCCACATATTGTGTTACACAGTAATCTATGCATTTGTGTATATATCCTTGCATTAGTTTCCACTTCATGCATCACACAAAATGGACTCTAGCCCACAAAAGCTTATGCCAAAATTAATCTGTTAGTCTTTAAGGTGTTGCAGGATTTGCCTCCTGGTTTTTGCTGAAACACTATGGAATTTCTTCAGCATAAGGCAAAACAAACAAAAAGCCACATCACAAACAACTTCTTGATTCAACATTTCTCACTACAGAGAGTAGGATTTACATGGAACAGATCTGATTTAAAAAAATCATAAACAACAAATAGTCTGGTAGCACTTTATAGACTAAACAAAACATGTAGATGGTATCATGAGCTTTAGTGGGTACAGCTCACTTCTTCAGATGCCTATTTGGTTTTCCCTTCCATATTTACATACCCTCTGCTTCTTGTTTTCCACCCCCTTCCATTTTTTCCCCTCTCCTCTCTCCCTTCTCCCCTATTTATTTTGGGTCTGGACGTCCTAAACTCAAAACTCCAGTCATCTGAAGAAGTGGGCTGTGCCTATGAAAGCTCATGATACCATCTACATGTTTTGTTAGTCTATAAAGTGCTACCAAACCATTTGTTGTTTTTTAAGTTAATCCTGTACAGACTAACTTGGCTACCTCGGAAGCTAAAAAAATCATGTTCGTGAATGAAAGACCTGGCAGGAGTAGCTGCTTTACAAATGAACAATCATTTTAGTGCGGAAGAAAAAGGACAGAGCTCCCTATTGTTTAAAATGAAAAGAGTATTAAACAACTGCTCAAAGTGTTCATTTAGTGATATACAACGGTATACAGTGTAATTTTAACAGGTGTGTTGGTAAAGCTTGGGACACAACTAATGTTCCCTCTAATCTTTTCCATCCATGTGCAGATTTTTTCGATCCAAGTGCGGAACAATTTTTATGTACACCAAGGCATGTGCAAATGTGCACGACTGGTAGAAAACAAAACATAACTGTGGGTGCTGTACTAATCAGCTGGGCAGTACTCGAATCTCTGATTAGCAAGTGCACATCTTAAAATAGACACTATGGACAATGCAGCTAAGCACTGACAAGCCTAACTACAACCCTAATGGCCCATATTCAACTCTAGATTGGTACCTATTACAAAATGCACATATACAGAGTCCCAGTAACAGTGAAACACAATATACAACATTGTCAATTATTTATCTGTGAAACTGTTAGTCAGCAACATGGAGAAAATCTATACAGAGGATCTTGTGTATGGCTTGCTTGATCTAGACAGTGATCACAAACTCACAATTCCAAACTATACAAAAGAAACCAGCAGAAATACTTCCTTGAGACCATGAGGCTTCTGTAGGTTCAGTGCAAGGAATTAGAATTCTGCAAATTTGTCAAGTCACTCATGTTCTGGATGCCTTCAAAAATGTATTTTAAAAAGTTGTTACCTTCTGCAGATGAAGGGCTTTCATGTGATTCCCCTAATGTTACCATCTCACTCTTGAAATAAATATTTTTTTCTAGAGGCTGGGAAGTTACTGAATGTTTAAAGCTAGGGAATAGATAGCTTGGATAGGACACAGAATATGTAGGAAGAAGTTTCCCCAATTCATTTTATCAAATAGATGACTAATCATTACATGAGAAAGAAGATGGTTGGGTACTGTCCATGTTTTGGTTACCATGCTGTGTATTTCAGACTGTGCATTTTATAAGATGGAATATGCACAAGAATCAAAATGTTCAGTTATCTTACATGTATGTTATACTTTTCTTCTCAAAGTGCTTTACACACTATATAGTAGTAATGAAATGCAGCTACCTCTGTCTCCCTTCAGAAGGACGTTTCTCTCTATCTACATTGATCCACATTCCTGATAAGATAGCAGAAGTGTTCCCTCCTTCCTCTTTACAGCGTCATGTACAGCATAGGGGAAAGGGAGGATGCAGACAAGAGATTTTCATCAGGACACCAAGGCAGAAGAATCATTTTCACAGAGCAGAAATAAGATATTGTATTACCTCACCTGTAGATGCCCACACATAAAATGCTAGCACTAAAGATATCTGCTCTCATGAATGAAAGGACTCAGTCCTGCATATTATACTTGTAACAGTCAGTCATTGGGATAACTGCACCAGTGCAAACCCTTAGGCAACGCCACAATTTGCAATGGTGGAATTTACTGCTTGTAATCTATATATGCTGTGCTGCTGCAAACCACAGTCTAACTAATTTACACTCATAAATACATTAATAATAACTAGTGCTTACATACAGCTGAAAACAGAGCGAGTCCCTAATTTAGATAAGATTTGAGCTGAGACTCAGGACTTCATACCCACAATTCCAAGTTCGTGTCAAAATGCTAACCCCACAGAAGGCAACTACACTAGGGATGTATTTGCCACTCTCTTGTAATCTGAGGCTTAGCCTAGTAAATCTGCCTCCTCCACTTCCCCCCCCCCCCCCCACACACAGCCTCTTCTGTGCCTGTTTGGATGCGTAAAGACTCTAAAACAAGTATCTCGCTGGGGAAAAGCAGACACATCACACTTCCACTCCAGGAAAGGAAAGAGAAGTATAAACGGGCTTCCAGGAAGCCTGAACGGCTCGGTGCAGTTGGCTAACCTCACAAAGCAGACTGCAAGGACCTTTATATGCATTCCCCGCCGTCCCCAGATCCCGAAATAAATAAAGGAACCTCGAGGGTGAGTATCTGGTCAGGAGTCTCTTCTGTCTCCCAAGTCACGAAACTTTGGGGAGGGTCGGATAAGCAGAGCCTGCCCCAACCCCGGAGCGGGAGGGGAGCGGGACTGAAGGAAGGCAAGACGAGCAGGCAAGGAACAGGAAGAAGGGGCAGCCCGTAGAAGGGAGAGGAGGGGAAGAAGGGACAGGCAGCAAGCGTCCTGCGCTGCGCTGCTGGGTCCGGCTCTGCACCAACCTAGCACACAATCCAGGGAGGGGAGCCCACTGGAGAGCAGCAGCTGCCCGTGGCGAACTGAGGGCCGCGTGCCCGCGATAGTGGCTAGACGGCTATTGGCAGGAACTTTCCGTTGGAAACTGGTAGCCCCGTCACTCGACGTTGCCCCACCGGTCGCCAAGGCCGCCATCTTAGCTTCCTCCCGGTTGACAGGAGAAAAAAAACGCCAGGACTGTCGAGTCCCCTTTCTCCTCCTCTCCCGCTTCGACCTATGGGGAGGCGGCCGGGGCCCCCCTCCAGCCAATAGCAAGGAGCGTTGTTGGCAGGCCTCGTACCTCGGGCGTGGGGGAGGGGCGAGCCTGAAACTGCCGGTCAGGCAGGTAAGTGAGGGAGGAACGGAAGAGGGAGGCTGCATTTCACCCCGTACCCAGCCGCTCCGTCGGCTGAACCAGGTGCCCAGCAGTTCTGAGGCTGCGGCGGTGTCTTTCCCTGACCCCCCCCGCCCTGGAGGTTTTAGAGGTGCCTGGCCCGGCGCGGTGACCTGAGCAGGCGGTTGCCCCACGGCCATCGGGCGGGCAGGCGAGGAGCCCCTGTCTCATCTCCTGCACGCCGGGCGCAGCCTCTGGGTTGTGCAGAATAGACCCAGGTTCTGGTGCTGCCGCAGCGTCCGGCTGCCTCAGGGACCTCAGGACTGGGCGTAGCGCGAGGGGGAAGGTTGTCCCCAGCCCATGGGTCCTGGAGATCGTGACTCTTAACTCTGACCGATTGACTAGTGACCTCGCCTAAGACTCCGGGCTAGCCGATCCCTGTGCTTGCGTGGAACCACGGTGTCTTTAGAGGCGGTCTGTCCATGCGGAGCTGTTGCAGCCTAAGATCGCGTTAGGGAAAAGGCTAAAAACGACGTGAAATTGAATCACTTAACATTTTAAATATTACAGTGCAAGTGCGAAAAGTCGGATTAAGAGCTGGAGGGTAATAGGCGCCTATTTAAAACAAAGCCCCAAATATCGGGACTGTCTCTCTAAAATTGGGACATTTGGTCACCCTAAGAGGTGTCCTTAAATTGCCTGGCTAATCTCAGTGCTTTGACAGTTACAAAATGTTTTTGTCATTACTGTACCTTTCTGGATTAAAAAAAAGGAATTAGGGATATAAAAACCTTTTAAAAAAAACCTCTACTGGTGTAACTGATTGAAATGCAAATGGTTACATGGTTAAACACTCTGCTGGCTCCCACCAGTGGCTGCTGCCCCGGCAGTCTGTCTGTGATGGCCAGGAATTTAGCTGGTAACGTTAACCTATAAGCTGATAGGGATGTTAAAATGTGTTTATTTTTGTGAATGTGTAACTGCTGCAATTTTCAGCAGTTAAATGTTTACACGCAGGAGGCCAGGCAGGAGCTGGTGCTTGTGGGGAACCAGCTTTTAAGCGGGCTTCCCATGAGCACTGGCTCCCGCCTGCCCCTCTAACCACCCACACTGCTGCCTCTAAATCAGAGGCAGCAGTGCGGGGAGGAGGGCAGTTGGCTCTGCAGGAGTCAGTGCTCATTTGCTCCCCTCCCCTCTGAACAATGTGAGCACATATGGAAGCTGGCTTTTTAGGTTCCCACCTGGCCCCCACACTGTTGTATGTGAGAGGAGCTGACTTAAAAGCCAGCTCCCCCCACCGCACTGGCTCCTGCCTGCCCTCCTCTCCATTGCCTCTGATACAGTCTCTGATACAGAGGTGGGGAAGGGGGGAACCTGTGTGTAACCATGAGGGTTAACTGATGAGCCCAAGTTCATCGGTTCACCTTGTGCACGGGTACATATTCACATCCCTGTGAGCTAATGCTTCTCAGTTAACGGGTTAAATTCTTACATCCCTAACAGGAACCTAACTGTACATGACAGGATAGTAAATGCACAAAGCAAAACTTGGTTTTAATAATGTTAAATGTTACATCTGATTAAATCTCTCTACCTATTGTTAGCCATGTGAGGCTTAAATAGAGTCCCTTCATTTCTTATTCAACAGTTTGTGAGTCTCTGACAAAAGATTCCTTTCTTGAAATGACATCCAGGTTGTTGGATCCTTGTATAAAATTCATGGCAATATTGGCACTAAAGTGAAAACTTATTCGTGTGAGAAACGTAGTTCCTGTATTTCCCTTTTTTTTTACTGTTTGAACCAGTCACTAATAATACACCATGATTTTATTTTGAGTCTTTAAGGTAAGTGGTGCATACGCTGCTTTCTGTTACTTGTGTACTCCGGTGGTTTGTGACCTTTTTGAGCGTACAGACCCTTTTCAATCTATTAAAATTTCACCAATCGCCCCCTCCCCCCAAACAATAAAGCTGTTTTCAAACATTCCATTCCTTGATAATCTTTTGAAATGTATAATAGTTCATGAAGTTCAAGGGTGGAACTTCAAGAGGCTAGGGAGCTAGGGTGGAACTTAGGGAGGCTTGGGGGCAAGGGGGGACGTTTGGGAGTGTGGGGGGGTAGCAGCTGTGCATGCTGGGACATGGCTTGCTTTTGATCCTGTTCTCCAGATGCTAAGGGAGAGTGGGGAAAGTGCTTGCATGTTGTGCATGCCTCTCACACTTGGCTGATGTGAGAGTCATGCACAGCATGCAAGCACTTTCCCCTCACTCTCTTAGCATCTGGGGAAGGAGATCAAAAGTAAGCTGCATCCCAGTACACATGGCTGTGGGGAGGGGGTCATGGAGAAAAAAAGGAAAAGGAAAAGTAAAGATTGGGCCCTCACTTTTACATTTCTGCAGATCTCCAGGAGTCTGCAGACTACAGGTTGGGAACCACTGGTGTACTCTAACCAAGGGATTTTCAAACTCTGGGTTGCAGCTTGTAAAGGCAAGCCACTAGCTGACCCAGATATGTTTTGTTTACCTGCACCCCTATAGGTACGGGCAGTTGCAGTTCCTGTTGGCTGTGGATCGCTGTTCCCAGCCAACAGGAGCTGTATCTGCAGGAGCACAGCTAAGCAAAGTGTCTCACAGCCAGCTAGAGGTTTGTCCTTACAAGCTGTGACCTGGAGTTTGAAAACAATGAAATACCCAAGTTTAGTATCTCCTTGTGGCTTCTGCTGTATACGTCAGAAACTAAAATATTCTAAACTTGACTGAGTATATTTTAGCTCAAATGCTTTCTGAAGGAAGCCTTAATGGTAGGATGCATTTTGATTTTAACATTGGTACACAGATGAACTGGGGCTAGTATTTGTATGCGCATGTTTTTCCATCTTTAGTTGTCACATCCTTCTTGTTCTGGTTTATAAAATTCTCATGATTCAATATCTAACAACTTATTTTTAAAAGCCCTTATGATACTGAAGCCAACTTCATAATTTTGGGCAGGTTCTCACTCTTGATTTTTGCATACTTATGGTTGGAAATGAATTTCTTTTGGAATAGTATTGGTAGTTTCTTTTTAATACAACACAATTACTAGGAGTGTTTTGATACTCCCAACACTTTAAAAACACATTTTGGCCCTCTTGTTGACTCTAACCACATGAAGCTGGGCTTTTAATATCCTAAAATCCCACTTAGCAAATTCATACTGGTTCTGTTGCAGTCAAAGCCCTCTGCATTTGAGGCCTTCATCTTTTGCACTTGCTGGGGGGAAGAGGGCAGTGTCAGTAAACCACTTTGCCAAATCACATGGTTTTATCATGATTCTCAATATTTATTTGGTGATTGTGGCAGGGTTCTCTCACTCTGAGAACCTTCTTGCATTTATTGGGATGATACCACTCTCTTTGGCTCCTGCTGGTTAGCTGTGTCTAGCCCTAGCTCTTCTGTTGCTCATTGTTTCCCCCAGATCACTTGTGTTCAGACCCTTTCCCTGGGTATTAAACAAATTCAGACAAAAGTCCAAATTGAACTCTTCTTCTGCCATTGCCTATATTGTCTCCGTGTACCTTAACCCTCAGCCAAAGAGCTCTCACTCCTTCAGTCTACTTATAATGGCTTAGCTCCACCCCCTCTGGCTAAGAGCCAATTGGCTGCTCACATCGCCAGGTGCAAAGCATAACTAATTGGGTGCATTCACTGGCATTGCAGGTGATGAGGATTACACCTCTTCAATAAGGTTTTTTACATTTCTGATTGCTGACTTCAATCTTGTGAAATTTAGTCCTCATCCAAAATTGTCACCATATTTCTTTAACTTTTGTAACTGAAAAGCATAACTGGCCCCAGCAAAAATGGATGGTCTCTCTCATTGTGTGTGTCTCTGATCACAGCTAGCACTAGGCTTAAACAGACCAAGCAGTTGCTTAGGACCCTGAGCAGCTGAAGAGACCACACTATTCACTTCTTGTTAAATGTGTGTGTG